CCAGCTGTTTGACACACAATCAACCACAGGATTATCAGTTGCTGCCATCTATTCAGAAATAGCAAGTGCCCAGAGTACATATGGGTGATCTCAATTTTTCCTGTTTTTGGAAGAGATTTCAGTGGTCAGATCCAATATCTAGCTACCAATTCAGCTATAATGTTTATCTCATTGTTCAGAGACATATGTTTGCCACTGGAAATTTGCCACTCTTTTTATTTTATTTTTTAGCCGTACCAAAGCATCACTCCCAAACCCCAAATTGCACAAGTGTGTATATGTATGTATGTATGTATGTATGTATGTATGTATGTATATGTATATGTATATGTATGTATGTATGTGTGTGTGTGTATATATATAAAAATCTTGCTTCCTTGTTAGGAATAATATGTGTAAGAGTAGGAGTGTAGAGCCTGGAGGAAGGTGGTGAATCAAAAGAGGAATTAGCCTAGAGTCTCTACATTCCCACAAGCAGTCTTAAGTCCAACCCCTTTTAAATTCATTTAACTCTTATTCAGCATCAAAATAGTGCTGCTAATTGACTAGGTTCCTGTGCATAGATATGATCAATAAATTAGTTTAATTGAAAATTAATGATATATTTCATGCCTGATAATATGTTTATTTTTTGTATTTTGTATAATAGCGAGATGTGTCATTTCTCAAGTAAGAACGATGACCATCCAATCATCATGGTCATGAAATAACTTGTTACAATAAAGACAGAATCATTATTTCTCAAGAACAAGCCACTTTAGCCAAGATGCATGTATAACTAGCATATGGGAAAAGCCCTCAGACTTAAATTTCTTTTTCATTTCACAGAAACGAGTGTGCAAAAATTTGGAGACCGTTCCACAGGCAATCAATCCCTGCCACCCATTAAGCAACTGTTTTATGGATTACTGGGCTGTGAAGTGGAATTTGAAGGAGAATGATCTCACTGAATTGTTCAGTACTCAGATTATGAAGGAGAAACCAAGTTATATGGTATGTTTTATAAGTTGGCATCTATGCTATTAGGATCACTTTTTAAAAACAAAGATGTCAAATAGTGATTATTACGTTGTTTTGAGAATTCTGTATATATGTGCTTATTAATCAGATATTTACGGATAATGAAGCCAAAGCTACTGCCCAGCCATGTCCAAGATGTATTGCTGGTGAATCTGTAAGTATATTAACCCTCTTACTGTGACTTAAGATAGGCTTGTTCTTAAATATTAGAGCCATAAAACATAAGGTTAATAAAAAAAACAGCAATTACATTTCTCAGGGATAAAGCATGTAAATAAAAGCAGCAGATTGATTTAGCTTTTTCTTGGTATGCTAGCAGAGTGCAAACTAATATGTTTCCTGCATTAGGTTGAAAATATAGGGAGTGCAGGCTCGTTTTTCAAACACACTAGAAAGCAGAATTCAGTCACCTAAATTAATCTCAATGCAAGTTAAGGCATGTATTACCCTATTTCTGTTTGGAGACATTTGAGATTTACAAAGAGATTTTAGAAGTATTTCTACAAAACTGAAATACAGATATTATTCTTCGATATGTTCGAAGTAAGACGTAACTTACCATAATTCAACTAGATTCTGAGGTTAAGCAAAGTTGCTTTCAACCCAAGGAAGATGATATTCCTCCCAGCCAAAATTCTTAGTGTACATTTCCAAATATTTTAGTGAGCCTCTTAATCCTATTCCCAGCTAAATTTTTAAAAACATTTTTAAAGACTGAATACAATTTGTTAGAGGAAATATAAGAAAAAAACAGTTAAAACAAAGAAAATAAGACTATGATTTTAACTTGTTTTCATTAAGCTACACTAGGCCTTAGAGTTGAAATCTCTATTCATATTCCCATACTATGGGAGCCAATGAAAACAGAATTATCTATGAACAATGGGAAAATTAAGTATGAAGAAATGTTTTATTGTGTTTCTATGCAATATCTGAAGTAGGTTCTTCTTCATATATTCCACAATGGTTTCTTGAAAAGGAGGCATTGCTTTTTAACTAAAAGTTGATACGTCTTTTATCTTAGGATAGGTTGGCTGCATTGTGTTTTTAATGTTTGTTAACCATTAACTTTTGAAACATCGAGAAGCTGAAGTGGTATCCCTTGCTTAATATTGTAGCTTTAAAGAAGGATTATATAATTTCATGGAACATGTTTTCATAGGTAGTAGCTGAAAGAGGTACTACTCTTGTTACAGCATTGAAAATAGAGTTTAGCTTCTTTTCATTTCTTTAAAAGAAAGCTGGACATTGTGCGTTTACCAAAGCCATTATTATGTTCTTTAAAAGAAAGAAAAACATAGTGCAGATTCCATTCAGAATAAATAGGATTTTTGGAAATTGCATTGGAGTTCACACATTGTGCTAAGATTTAATATGACCTATTTGGTTTTCATAGTGAATTTTATGGAACCAACCGTTGTTGGCTATTAACTTTCTTTGTATATCAATTGATAAAAATTAATCCAGCCAACTTGGGTTATTCAGCAATTCATGCTGGATGTCGATTCAGCCTTTATCTGAATGAACATGTCTACCTCTAATTAGTGTCTGGCTGTCAATAACATGATTAATTTTTAGTGTTTATAACCTTCCAACTTGGACAAAACTGCCAATCTTACTGCAGTACATTTCTTCTGTATCTTTATTGTGATAGAACACCTTATCTGTATAACAAACCTTGCTTCAATTAATACAATTTATCTGTCATTACAGGGACACTTTGGTCATATGATGGGTTTATAGAAGATCAAAGAACATTGATAAAGATGATAAGCTCAAGCTTATCAAACTTATGTATGATAGGCTTGAGTTGCTAATATTTTCTTCACTTCTCTTAAAAATTCCTATTTTCATTAGAATCCCATTTTAGTTTACTTTTTAATATCTTATATTATCTATTGTTTAGGAAAAAAGTTCTCCACTTCTAATAACATACATATCGTGTACTACTAGAAGCATATTTTCCTGAATATAAGCTCTTAATTGCATTATTTTCACTCCGTACATCTTGCACTGAACACCCAAAATGTGTGTTGTTTTTAAATGAACCTTGACAGCAATAGTCAGAATAAGTATCTGTTTCAAATAGAGATCTCTTCTCCCAATCTTAAAATAATATCAAAGGAATTAAATTTTGCTGATTAGCAATATTCTGTGCATTTCCACCATTTAGTAAAACTACTTTCTAATATAGTCCGACAAATTCTTGCGAAAGAGGGCTGGGCAACTGTAGAATCTTGTTGGCTGAATGAATCCTATCTGAGTGACAAAAAACTTAATGTTAAGATAAGAACTAGTTCTTTTTTACATGAAATAAAAAATAAATCAAATGCAGTTCTTTGGTTGTTGCAAGTAAACCTTATTTTAATCTGCATATTTGCTGACTGTCATAAAATGCCCTTGAGGTTGTTCAAATTATTTTAAAATGCAAGATTAAATCAATTCCTTTTAAAACAATTTTTAAAACGTATACATCAAGTACATTTTCGTGGATTTATTTGTAATTCAGCATTATAGCAAGAAGAAATAGACTTGCTTCTAATAACAAAGTTTATGAAAGCACTTTATACGAAAACATTAGGACCTTTTAAAAATAATATATATTTATGCTAAACGAATTAACAAAAAATGCATAAATAATGCCAGCACTGTAATGTAATATCAGAATTTAGATAAAGGTTATACCATATGTTTCTATATATTTTAGCTGAAATATTTAGCAACTGAAACCTGGTGAATTAAACTACCAATGGTTTATTGCTCCTTCTGACTTTGCAATTCAATCAAATACTTTTTGCTCATGATTGTAATATAGTTATGAATAAAATATTAAGAATATAATTAAGTAGAGGGAGTAGAATTCACTTTCGTTCTACCATAAGATTTTTATTATGTCTTTGCAATCCAGAGACTGAGATATTTCATTTATTCCTTCAGAATGCTATCAACAAAGTAGTTTCCAAATCAGCAGTTGAAGAGACCTAAGACTGCATTCTGATGGACACCTATCTGTGAGTCTCAGTGAACAAAGTGTCAGGGTTTGTCTTCTCTATGTAATACTTTGCCTTCAAAGATTAGGATGGCCTTCATTCTTACAACCCTCCAAGAAGTTATAAAGCCTCTTTTTCATTTGAGATGGTTGATTCCAAAGCTGCTGGTTTGGTTTTACCATACAGTATTTGTTTATTGTTTAGATATTATGATGGTATTTTAATACATATTCTATAAGTTGCTCAGAGTCTAACTGCATTGGACAATAAATACATTCAGTGTGTTGGGAGAGACTTCCTTAAATCCTATAGGTTTTTGGCAAGGTGCATCCCATCTCATCAGGCTCATCTGGTATTGGCAACATTGGCTGTAGGGTGAGACTATTATATATAATATAGAATCTAGCATTTTGTAGATTCCATCCATGCAATCATTGCCTTTAAATTTAGGGCTGAAGCTTCCACAAATCATTAGATTCTACATTTTCTTATTCCAACATTATCTCCACATAAATTATGAAACATAGGTGACAAAGAGGATGACAGGTAAATCTGTCTTCCTTTATGTCTCCCACCACTTACTGGAAAACAAACGTAGAAGTGCCGTTCACAGATCTGAAGTTGTTGTTTGTATGTATATTGGAAGACTTCCTAGATTTTTATCAGTTATATATATGATTTATGGTATACTTTTTAGTATAACTCAAGGTTGATTTTGCTCTGTAGAAGCAGTTTTAAACACATGCAGGTCATCTTCCACGTATAACCATTCGTTTAATAACCAAAATTACAATGGCACTGAAAAAATGCTGTTATGCCTGTTTTTCACTCTTATGACCATTTGCAGCATCCCCATGGTCACATGATCAAAATTTGGACACTTAGCAATTAGTATCTATATGTGGTGGTTGCAGTGTCCTGTGGTCATATGATCACCTGCTGCAGCTTTCTGACAAGCAAATTCTAATGGGGAAGCCAGATTCACTTAAGAACCATATTGCTTACTTAACACCTGCAGTGATTCACTTAACAACTGTGACAAGAAAGGTTATAAAACAGGGCAAAATTTAACAACTGTCTTGCTTAGCAACAGAAATTTTGGATTCAATTGTGAGTGTAAGTTGGTGACTATCTGTAAAACATGAACATGAACACAACAACAAAGCTACATTCATATAGGAGCTTTGAATTTACCTAATTCAAAAAACCTCTTTTAATGCTAAAATTGCCTATTTGGAAATAATGGATTTAAAATGCTATCCAAAGTCAAGGTCCTTGAGGTTGACAGAAAATGTCTCTGCCTGATTTTATTAATTCCTCAACTTGCTTCATAAGATCCTCATCACAGTCTCCTTGATTCATTTGGATAATGAATGCCAGGGCATCTTGTCCACGTGAGTTACATAAAACTGAATTCAAGCACCCGAAATTTAATTTCAACATGGCATATGTAAGCAAAAAATATAGAGTTTTGAAGTCTCTTAATTACATTCTGGAAAGCAACAGATTGTTCTTAAGAATGCTAATAAACTACAGGTAATCCTCTAGTTAAGACAGTTCACTTAGAGACCATTCAAAGTAATGACATAACCCCCCCCCCCAGTACTTATGACATAGTCCTGAAGTTACAAATGTTGCAGCACCACAGCAGTCATTCACACTTATGAACGACTTTAGAGGCTCTGCAACATTAGCCAGATCGCGACGATCTAGCAAGCCACTGTACTCATAGAGAAAAGAGGCCTAAAGTAGTGCAAGATCATGCAAGATCAGTAGTGCAAGATGTTGCACTACAGTACCTTAAGCCTCAGTTCTCAGCGAACCGAGGCCTGCACCAGATCCAGTCGAAGAACATTTGCAAGCAGCAAAATCACATTGCTTCAAGCCTCCCAATGGCTTGCAAACACTTTTTGTGCCAAAACTAGAAGTTTCGGGGGCTGTGATCTTGCACAAGATCATGGCCCTCAGAAGTTTCCAGTCTTGGTGTGAAAAGCATTTGCAAGCCGACAAGACTTTGGGGCTGAAAAATTGCATTGCTTCAAGTCTCCCATCAGCTTGCAAATGCTTTTTGCACTGAGACCACAAGCAGGCAAAGAAACTGAGGCAGAGAGGCTGGAGAGGAGATAGGCCACTAGATCTTCACAAGGTAGGTGATCTGGCACGGCAGGATGCAGGGGAACAATTGTGGGAACCCCAGGGGTGGGAGCATGATATATCTCAGTTGGGTCGGAGGTGGCCTTGGGTGGTCTGAAGCAGATGGCTGTTCCATTACTAGGTCCCCCATAGTCTTCCTCACCCTGAAATACCTCATGTGCACTTAATGACCTGCACATTTGATTAGTGAATGCATGGTCAAAAGCAGGGAGTGATTGTGTTCATTTTATGTGATTCATTCCATCCTCAGGCTATGAATGGAATTGGAAAGGTCCATTACATTTGCAACTGGAGGACTCTCTGTAGTATTATTTAAACTAAGAGATCCTAGAATATTTATATTGGCATGTGTTCAGTGAGAAAATACAATTTTATATTTTATATCAGACCTTTTAAATCTTACATTGAATAAACATTTGGGATTTTTGTCCTCAAACTAAGTATAAGTTTTGTCTCCAAATCAAATTGGACAAACTGTCATGACCACAGAATTGTTTTGAGAAATGTTAACCACTTTTTGATTTTATAATAGAATAATTTAAAATGCAGATACATTGTAATCTTTTTTGTATACAAAATCTAAGAATTTTACTTTCCTGAATGAATTGACACAACCATTTGCATTTTGTTGCATAACTTTAAAACTTTGTGTTTGGTAAATTATAATTTATTTTTTTAAGCTGGAGTATTAAATAGTATATTTGCTGTTAAGACTGTCAATTATGTTTTTAAAAGATCTGTTAATGTGTAAAAAAAATTATACCTTTCTAAAATTTATCTTGCAAGTCTGCCCAAGATAAATTGTATTTCATGTTCTCCATTTATTTCCACATAAATAAATAAAATAGAATTTAGAAGACTAGTTTGCTGTGGCATTGAAAAGTGGGCGTTTGTCACATTTGAAAAGTGTTCATCATTAAACAGAGTGACTTAATAGGAAAATTCTTTTTTTGAAATTTCAAATATAAGCTATCATATGGTAGAGCTGTCACTTGCAGTTTGTCCCATGATGATGCCTTCCTATTCTACTACATATGTTGTTTAAACTACTAATATTGAAATGTTTCTATTATCAATTAGTTTTATTTTGAACAAAGATCACAATTCTTCAGATGTTTTCATGTATTTGTGATCCAATATATATAATATATTTTATATAATATTATATATTATATATAATATATAATATATTATAATATATGTGTGTGTGTGTGTGTGTGTGTGTGTGTGTGTGTGTGACCAGGGTGGGTGTAGCCAGGGTGTCATTCTTCATGTTAGGTACTCGTTTGTTCATTAGGGCGGGTTTCCAAATGGCTGGTAGGCGGGAGGTATCATCTCGTTTATTCATGCTGTGTGGGCGTTTTTCTATCTCTATGGCTTCTCTGATTATTCTGTTGTTGAAGTGTTCAATTTTAGCAATAGTTCTGGTATTTTTAAAGTCAATCTCATGTCCTCAATCCCACAACCACGGACCAGAAGCCGTACCGCAGCTGCATCACTACCCGCTTCAAACCCCTCCGACCCATACATGAACCGAACTGATGCCCACCATGAAGATGTGGCACGACCACGAACGCGAAGCCAAACAGCAGGATCACAGCTCACCAGCTCTAATCCCCCAGCAACTAAGACTAACCTGAGCACAACCAAGCCCCCACCTGAACAGAACACACCCCCAGCCAATCAGAACACAGCCAACCCCCCAACCAATCAGAACACAGCCAAACCCCCAACCAATCAAGTCACATCCCCACTAGCAGTTAAAAGGAAGAAGCAGCTGCAAGCTCACATTATTCCGAGAAGCACAAAGCTGAAGACACAAGCCTGAAGATGATGAATGAGACTTCATCGAAACGTCGCCTAGATACTTCCAATTTTACGCGGGAGAAAACCCAAATAACCAAAGATAGATAGATAGATAGATAGATAGATAGATAGATAGATAGATAGATAGATAGATAGATAGATAGAATTCTTATAGGTTGTATATTTTACAATCCAATTTGATACTTTCTCCTACTGCAGGGGTGTCAAACTCGATTTCATTGAGGGCCACATCAGGGTTCTGTTTGGCTTGGGAGAGGTTGGGGGGGTTGTGACCAGGGTGAGTGTGGCCAGCTTGACATCACTCATGATGGTACCTGTGTTGTCCTGAACTCTACCAGTGAAAACGGTCTCCTAAGCTCCATTTTCAGCTGCAACGGCCTCCTGCGACACTGCCAGTGTTGGCAGAGGCACTGCGGGCTGGTCCTTCTCTGTTTCCAGGGTGACCCTGTGGGCCAGATCTAAGTACCCCGTGAGCCGGAACCACCCCATAGGCCTCAAGTTTGACACCCATGTCCTACCTACTGCATGAGTATCTGTTACAGATTGTAGTGACATAAAAGGTGAAACCTCTTGATGCAAACCATGGCTTTTTGCACTTGTACCATGATGTCAGGCACAAGTAAATAAATGAAACAGTTTTCAACATGATGTCATGTTACATGTTCCATCTTTCATTCCCTGCCCATTGGAGATGACTATACACATGTTAATAGGGAGATAACATTTGATGCAACCATTGTGGATTGTAATCCACAAAAGCATATGCCAAATTAAGGATGGGAGCTTTTAAAGTGCAACAAGGATGTCTGCATATTCCCAAACTACTTCTTGAATTCTGGTGAAATAGAAACCGTCAGGGGATTGCTCTCAGGAAGACTCAGTAGGACAAAAGACCCCCCAAAATGAGTAAACATTCCTCCCTTAACATGTAAGCATCTATAATGTGAAAAATAGAGACAGGATTGTATAGATAATATATATATTCAGCAACTTGCAGTTATTCAAAAAGAAAACAAACGTTTCAGGGAAATGTAAGAAAAGAAGTGCAGATTTCTGAATCTAACTTTACTTGCAAAGAGGTCTGTTCAAAACTCAAAGCTCAAGTTTCATTACAGACCGCTTGATTCTCAGACTTCTCTAACTTTGTTTTCATTTCTTAATTTCTTGCTGAACTTTCTCAATCTGCATTCCACAACCTATTTCTTCAGCAATTGATCTATAGAAGAATCCCTGGAGTTCGTGGTTTGACCTCAAAGCTCTTCCCCCCCGCCTCCCAGAATTTAAGACTCTGTCTTTTTAGTATTCATTACATTACTGTATTCTGAAGTTGCTTGGTAGATCTACTACTTGGTTGTCTTTTTTTCTACTTGTATTTGAAGTAGTATCCCTACCTTTCATTCCAGGTGTCCTTGTAAAAATACTTTAGCTCCTATTTATCATGCCCAAATATTAAATAGTTGCATTTTATAACATACTGTATCACCCATTCTACCATTAGATATGCAACAAAAATGCATCAGGCGGATGTAACTTTTACTTTAGTTTCAAATTAAGCCTGATTACTTTTATAGATAAACGTCAACAATGAATGTATTATTTAAACAATTAGAATAGTCTGAAAGTGTCAATTACCAAATAATAAGTAAAACAAGGAAGCTGGTATTATATAAAATCAAGATACCAGTATTACTCTATCCCAGGGGTAGGGATAGAGCAGGAGTAGGGAAACTTGGCTCTTTTATCACTTATGGACTTGAACTCCCAGAATTCCTGAGTGAGCCATAAAAGGTTCCCCATCCCTGGCCTACTGGTTTTTCAGTTGTGGGGGAAATCAATTTTTGACTTGAATATCCTACATTTGTATATTAAACAGTCCCATTCAAGTCAAAAATTGATTTCCCTCACAACTGAAAAACCAGTAGGCCAGGGATGGGGAACCTTTTATGGCTCACTCAGGAATTCTGGGAGTTCAAGTCCATAAGTGATAAAAGAGCCAAGTTTCCCTACTCCTGCTCTATCCCATCTATAGATTGATAAGAACCTGGGCAAGGATTTCGATAATACAACAATTGATGTTCCATTTCTAAGTCTTGAGTTGGAACAAGGATAATATCCCTCCAGTGATATCATCAGAAGTTGCAGCCTCACATTTTCCCTTGATGACTAACATTTACAGTATTTAACATTCCACATCTCATTTCTCGATTTTTACCCTTACTTCCACTTAACTTTGGGTTAAGTTTTCTTCACTATTTTTTATCTACTCCAAAACCATTTGTATTTCCATTAGATCACTCTGAATTTTCTGTGTCTTATTCAAACTTAACTATTTCTTGCTCTTGTTGAACAAATTCTTTGCAACTGTCCATTTTTTTGTATACCAATGCACAATGCATTTTTCTCAACTTCAGTTTGTGCCAGAGGTGGTATTCAGCAGGTTCTGACCAGTTCTGGAGAATTGATAGCAGAAATTTTGAGTTGTTTGGAGAACCAGAAAATATAACCTCAGACTAGAATTTTTACAGTATCCTTCCCCTGCCACGTCCAGCAAGCCTCGTCCACAGAACCAGTAGTAAAAAAAATTGAATCCCACCACTGGTTTGTGCCATAATTGCTGTCATCCATTTTCTCATGCATAATACCTTTCACTTCATCATTCCAAGCAAGCATCTTTACTTTAGTGTAACTCCACAAACATAAGTGGCATTTTGTAATGTTCCCATTCTCCTTGAGCTGTGAAGAGCATCCAGCCCCACCCTTTTTCCGTCTGGTGGGATCCTGTTTCGGCCAACGAATTGTTAGGGCATTGAGGACGAGGGCGTTTATTTCTCTCGTCTTCGCCAAAACTGGGAAACGCTGGGGAGGAGTCCCGTGGAGGAAGAGGAGCGTTCCACAAATTAAGTGCAGCCTAAACATGCAGAGACTGAAGCACCTCCCACTACTGGATGCTCTTCACAGCTCAAAGAAAATGGGCGTGTCAGGTAAGTACCAACACCCTTTCCCTTCCCTTCCTCTTCCCTACTACCCTTCCTTCTTTCCTTCACTACCTCATTCCTTCCTTCTATAGCTTATTTATAGGCACTTAGCATTTACAGTATAGCCATGTATAGGTAATTTAAGTACTTATTAATAAAAATATAAAATATTTTCGTGTTTAGAGGAAAATGTTTTGTAATTTCTGTATTATACAAAGCCTAGAAATATGACTGCAAACTTTCTCTAAACATACACTATTTAATTAGGGCTAAATTCATACTGAATAGAATTATGTCTTAGAATGTTTTAGTAATGTTACTTTCCCTTTCTGAATCTGACTATACATGTGTGCACTAGAGTAGTATGGAAACTACTGCATGGATATTTGCTTGCAACACAGGATGTCATTCATGAGTTATACATAAATGGCAGCTTTACATATTTAAAGGAAACATGAACAGCTTCATATCTGAAGTATGCTTCCCAGGGGGTACCACTACCATTTGATCTATTTTTGATTAAAATGTAAAAATTAAAAATTAAATCAAATGGTAGTATAACTCCTTAGGGAAAACATACTTCAGTTATGAAGTATTCCCTGTAGCAACCTTGAAAATCTTACAGCTGTATTGTCTCATCAGTAGGTGGTCCTTTTATGTCACACATAATTAAAATGAATGGCTGTTCGAGAGCCCATACTACTGCATACAGATTTATGAAGCTGGAGGCACCTCCACTCAGATGTAAACACAAAGTAACTGTGAGGGATAAACAGCATGAGGATAGGTATCAGTAAGATATTTCCCTGTGTCATAAGAGGAAGGACCAGGTGTATGTCATAAAACATTATGTACATGTCTAGTAAAAAGAATTTCAAATTTCCAGTTTGATTAAGCTTATAGTACCTTTGCTATGCAGTTCAATTCTGCCTTCTTCAGCTAAAATAGAATAAGAACTTTAAAAGTATGAAGGAATGATCAGTGTCACCATAAATAAAAAAAGTTATATTAGATTTACTAAGAAAATGTGCTTTGCAGACTCTACTTGTAT